CACTCCAGCTCCAGGAAACCTGATGCCCTCTTGTAGCCCCCTCAAGTAACAGTACTCAAGCACACACACCCACACCCACACCCACACCCACACCCACACACACCCTAAAAATTGTAAAGTACCTGAGTAGGTGCTTTTTAAAAGAAACTACCAGCAGGCATGGCAAAGGTGCTCAGTGTCACACATCAGGAATACACCAGTCAAAGCCAGAGTGAAATATCATCACTGCATGTTAGTAAGGCTGTTATCAAGTCGACAACAAGAGGGGCTGGAGAGGCAGTTCAGTGGTGAAGAGCACTAGCTGCTCTTCTAGAGGATCCCACTTGGATTCCTAGTACCCACAATTAATCATCCATAAATCCAGTCCCAGGTGATTTGACAGGTGATTTGACACCCTCTTCCGGAGTCCATGAGCACCAGACACACAAGTAGTACACAGACATACATGCAGGCAAAACACTCATAAACATAAAATAAAATTTTAAGATAAAAAAAAGAGTTGACAAGGGTATAGACAGAGGGGACCTGTGCATGCCAACAATAAAAACATAAATTGGGACATGTATTACTGCAAACGGCAGAGGTGTTCCTCAAAACACTGAAGACTGCCATCGATAGATTCTGGGAACTAGAGACAGTGCTACCAGCTGTGTAACCACCACTGAGCTCACCAACCTACAGTGGACAGATCCAAGCTCATGGTCATACAGACAGCCCTGGTGAAACTTGGTGGGTCACAAAACAAACTGAATCAGTATGTACATAAGGACAAGTTCTGTACCCAAAGCAGGAGTGTCTGAGAGCAGTAGGGAGACAAGAGAGGATGGAGCTAAAAGTGGTCACTGCGCATTATGTACATACATGAAACTGTTAAAGACAAATTTAATTAAGGCAAAAAGGTTGAAAATAGAACTGCCATATGACTCAGGGTCCCTTGCTAAGTAAACATCCCAAAGAAATGAAACTGGCATCTTGAAAAGCCATGTGTACATGCATGCCCATTGCAGCACTGTTCCCAACAGCCAAGACACATTAACAACCTAAGTGTCTGTCAGTGGATGAAAGAAAGGACATGGCTACATATTTACAATGGACTGTTATCGTCTCTCTCTCTCTCTCTCTCTCTCTCTCTCTCTCTCTCTCTCTCTCTCACACACAGAGGAGAGAGAGAGAGAGAGAGAGAGAGAGGGAGAGAGAGAGAGAGAGGGAATGGAAGAGAAGGCTCAGTGGTTTGGTGCCCCAGATCTACATGAAGGGTCAAACCTAACTGTAACTCATGTCCCAGGGGATCCAACACCCTCTACTGGCTTCTGCTGGCGCCAGGTACACATGTGGTACACATGCATATACACAGGCAAAACATAATCAACTCTTCCCAATTCCTTCCAGTTCTCCAACTTTATTCTTTTGGAGATGGTTTTACTACATTACTACATTGTCCTGGCTGTCCTCAAACTTGTGATCTTTCTCCCATAGACTCCCAAGCTGCTGGGATAATAGACACATGCCACAATACCCAGCCATCAAGTTTCTTTTTTCCATTTTGCATATTTCATATGACAACTTTTGACTCTTAAGCAGCATCTGAACTTATCATTCACTGTGGGAGAGAAATACTATCTCCAAAGGCAGCTGTCCAGGAGACACTGGGAACTACCTCCTGGCTGGAGCCTGCAAAAAAGCGAGCAATGCAGACCTGTGCAAGATGCTGGGGAGGCAGACCCTCGGCACAAAAGGAAAACATAAGACACAAGAAAGACCAGAATAATATGAAGAAGATTTTCCAAATGGAGATGTTTCGTGGAAACAAAATGTAAAACTGAAATCTGCACAGGAGGCTAGGAAACAAAGAAACTGAAATAACAAAACACAAAACAGAAACTCAGAGGACAAAGAACGATCAGTCACAGAGGGAAAACTGAGATGGGAACAACATGGAACATTTCCTAGAGATCAAGAGGTAATGCTGAAAGACAATGTTTTCTCCCCTAAACTGTCAATCAAGTAAGATGAGAAAATAAGGAAAAGGAGGCTGGGGAGATAGCACAGTCAGTCAAGTGACTGCTCTGCAAGCACCAAGACCAGAGTTCAGATCTCCAGCACGCACATGACTTCAACACAGGCATGACAGAAACAGGCTAACACAAGTTAGCTGCTATCCCTGTCTAGTTGAATCAGTGAGTTCCAGGTCCTACAGAGAAATTCTGTCTCAGAAAACAAAGTGGGGGAAGGGGGAGGTGAGGGAAACACCCAATGTGACCTCTGGCACTCACACACACAGGCACACATGCAAACACACATATACACCACATAGCTAAAAAGGGTAAGAGCTGTATAGATTCAAGGGGGAAATTCTCTATTCACCAATATTGCAAATATCCATGTAAAAATAATTACAAAAAAGTACTTAAAAATAACTGAAAGACATTTATTTTTTAAAGTTTCTATCCCTAATTAGGGAATTACCAAAGTCACAGGCAGATAAATATAGATCGGAAAGTCAAGACATAGAGAGCTTGCTAGCCCTCCATGGGTCCAATCTCCACTATCACAAAAACAGTATTTTAAAGAGTTAATTGTATTTCTATTCCAGTATCTAACAATAAACAGTGGGAACCAACATTTCAAAATAGCATCATTTATAACAGCTTTAAAAACAAAATAAAATACTGTGCTAAGAAATAAAATATGCACAGGATCTGTGATTAAAAATAAAGAACACTGACAAAAGAAATTTTAAAAAAACTTATTCCTCTAAAAACTCATCATTAAATCAAAAATAATCTTAGTCAATACACCAGCAGGACTGTTTGTAGATACTGAAAGTTGATTTTTCAAATTTATATTAAAGAAAAAGAAACTAGAACACCCCCAAAAATATGAAAATGAGAACAAAGCCATTGAGCTCAGACTATTTTTTGGTTTGGTTTGGTTTGGTTTTTCAAGACAGAGTTTCTCTGTGGCTTTGGAGGCTGTCCTGGAACTCGCTCTTGTAGACCAGGCTGGTCTCGAACTCACAGAGATCTGCCTGCCTCTGCCTCACGAGTGATGGCATTAAAGGCGTGTACCACCACCGCCACAGACTATTTTTTAATTGTGTGTATGTGTGTGCACATAAGTGCCACATGAATGCAGGGCCTGCATAGGCCAGCAGAGGGATCTGGTCCCAGGTAGCTGCAGTTGGGGTTTCTGTGAGTCACCCAACATGGCTGCTGGAAATAGAACTTGGGTCCTTTGAAAAAGCTGTAAGCACTCTTAACTGTGAGCAATCTCTTCAACCCCACTCACTGCCCCCACTAATTTTTTTTGGGGGGTCACTGAGAAAAGATATCTCTCTATGTAGCACCTGCTGTCCTAGAACTTGCTATGTAGATAAGGCTAGCCTCAAATTCACAGAGATCCCACTGCCTCTGCCTCCTGAGTGCTGTGATTAAAGGTGTGCACCACTATGCCTGGCCCTCTTACAGAAAAGCTCCAGTAATTAAGGCAGAGGGATATACTGACATGAGGACAGACAAACAGATCAAAGGAATCTGAGAATTCAGAAAAAGACTTAGACAAATACATGAAATGATTTTTGACAGAGGGCAGAAGCAATTTGGAGACAAAAGGATAGTGTTGGCACACAGTGCAAACATGAACCTTGGCCCTGCACCTTGCACCTGCACTGAAAGCAGCTCAAAATGGATCTCAGACTTATATGCAAAACATCAACATTGCATAAAACATTGACAAGGAACAAAAGAGGGAACATCTGTAATTCTGAATCTGTCTATAAATTCCAGGCACAAAACTGAGCGTGGGGTCAAGAACGTCCCAAATGATACATGGAACATCAACAGCTTTGGCTGTGTGGGACACACCACTACGGGGAAAAAAAGAAAGACAGCTATAGACCAGCAGAAACACTGTCCCATCACAGATGCCACAGAGATCTAGAATTAGAACTTCAATTGGAATTCAAGTTCCCAGTGAAAGGAATGCAAGCAAGCACCTCTATATGTTAAAACTGAGAAAAGGCATTTCTAAAGGATGCATGCCTACCTATAACAAGGTTTTATGCCTGGAGTACAAGGAGACCTCTATCTCTGTCTTCCCTTGGATAGAGTACAGTTAAGCAAAATAGCTAGACACTTTACCACTGAATACATATGCATGACAAGTACATGAAAAGCTATCAAAACTGTGTATTAAAAACACAAGACAGCACCACAAACCTACTGCAATGGTTTTATGAAAAAAAGAAAAGAAAAACAACTGGTAATACTAAGTGCTAAAGAGTCTGGAACTGCTGACCCCAGCGCATTCCTGGTAACGCAGAACAATGCTATTCCTTCAGATGCTCCCAGAAGGCAGGCCAGAAGTAACTCCCAGCTCACCTCAGATGTACCATAAATAGACGAAAAAGGAATCTTCAGCAAAAATATCAGCAAGCCAATCCAGCAGCATATCCAAAGGATGACACATGAGATTTATCCCAGGAACTGCTTGCCCATCAGAAGATTAATGTAATACAAAGTATGAGTAGAAAAAGACAAAATCTGCCGATCATTTCCAACTCTGTGAGGTCAGGCTCGAGGGGCACCTTGTGACACCACTAACTTTACATTCTCCCTGTATTTGGCTTATGGGAGCTTATGGATGCTAAGTTAGTACCTACCATACACCAGGGGTTCTGCTCAGCACTACTGCTGACTCACAGAAGACAAGCAAGAATATAACTCAGTAAATGTTAAAAACAAGCCTCGCATGGGAACACAAAGAATCACTGCCGGGGGGTGTAAGGAGACTATCTCATTCATATTCTTAAATTACAGAGGTATATTTCAAAGGGTCAAAATTAAATCATGTGGTAACAAATATGCTAGCATGCAGAAAAACTTAAACAGGAATATTTGACTTTCTGCCTCGCTTTACCTCTCACCAAAATCTTATCATTTTTCTTAGGTCGAACAGCTATAAATTTTTGAAAAATATGTTTGGGACAACCTGCCCTGTACCTTATGAGGGCCCAGAATCCTCTGCCTGAACTTCTCAACTGTTTCTTGACCCATAGCCGACCAGGCGTTGGCAAATGCTTCTGCTTTGTCTTGCGTAAAATGAATATTCTCCAGTTGCTGCTGCAGTGCGGCTGGCTTTACATTGTGGTACACTGCCTGTCAAAGGGGAAGCACACACATCCTCAGGTTTATGCAAAGACCTTGAGATGTAAGCAATACATAAGTATTTAAAGCAAA